CTCAATTCTGTACTCTATCAGTCAAGTTCCAGAAATAAACTATATTATAACCTTCAAGTTCATGCAAATTCTAACATATATCATGTTCAAGGCATGTAACTTTTGCTATTACTGACTGCAGTGCTCCAGTACAGAACAGCTCCCAGAACTGCTTGTAGTTATAGGAAGGTAAACCTGGTTCCACAAGGGAGGATTTATTCTCTCAGATTCTCTTTCTCTCAGTCCATGGCTTGGTAACCAAATGACAACTAAAGACTTTGATGGACATTAAGGCTAGGGACAGACATTACACATAAACCAGTTTAAGTGATCAGAAACTGGTTTAAACCTGTAACAGAACAAATGTTCAGTGCACACGAACCAGTTTAAAAATAGCTGAAATCAGTTTGAGATTAACCTGATTGAATGTAGTGTCAGACTTAACTGATTTGGCTCAAATAGGTTTATGCAATGTCTGTCCCAGGCCCCTTGCTGGTTTAAGATAAACCAGAGTCCCACAGCATCCCAGCATGCTCTTTGGGCTGGGCTGGGTGGGGCTCTCTGCTCCACAGCAGAGCTTGCCCCTCCCCTCTGCTCCCTCGCTGGAGCTCCAGAAGAGATTGCATGTACAGTAGGGTCTGCCTGGCTTCCCCCTGCCCTACTCCCCCCTCGCTGCTTGCTGCTCAAGCAGGAATTGTGCCCTCCCTCCCATCTCCCACAGCACAGACCCCAGCCCCATGGACCGTAGGCATGTGGTATGCTAGCTAATGAGAATATGTCTGTGTTTGACTCCAGTTTACTGGGACATACTAACAGATCAGTGACCACTTAAGGCTTTTTGGAGCTAATCAACAGATCAGCTGGTAAGCTGTTTAAGAAGAGTTTGAAGCAATGGAGAGAAGCTGTTGTTTTGCTAGTGGGGTGATAACCACTCTTATCAACCTCCTGCGGGCTTGCTTGCCTGTCAGTTTGCTGCAGACGGTATAAAGAAGCAGGGAGGGAAATTGAAAAGCTCCATATCATCATCAGATGTACGTACTGCACACCCTCCCTTCCCTCCCCGCCTTGCCTCAGAGTGCTAGCAGGGAGCTGGAATCTTGCAACAGTCCGGCCACTTGAGCAGCCAGTGGGGAAAAGCCTGGGATGCTGCAGGCAGACCTCCCTAAACAGAATATCCTGCCAGGGCCTGGCCATGCCCCCCTCAGCTCACTACTGTGGAAGGGAAGGGCAGGCTACTCTAGTGCCCCCCAGTTTCTAACCTGAGCCACTGCGGGCATGTGCCTGAATTTCCTCAGTCCAGAGAATGTCTGTCTGGTTACATACCGGTTCAGCCTAGCCAGGTGAGACTAACCTGCAAAGGTTGAATCAATTCAGGCTTAGGCTTTTGAATATCTGTTCCTAGCCTAAAAGCAACTACACACTAGTTATTTCCACCATTTGAAATATCTAAAGGTTATGGGAATGTAAGCCTATTAGCGATTACATAAAGGGAAGGTAAATGTAGAAACAAGTAAGCCCTAAATCTGCTGAAACCAAAGCCTTAATTCAGTGGTTCTTTCCACATTTGGGGGTTGAAACTTCTTTTGTAATAAAATACAAATTTCAAATAAAAATCAGAATGACTGTAATCAACCTCTGTCTCATTTCTCTCATGCCATGGCACCTTCTGCTCTCCCAGCGTGAAATTTAACTGCTCAGATCAGCCAGTCATGCAAAGCACTCTGCCTTCACACCATCCCACAAGCACTAAATACCCATACTGAGCATATGTGCATGGCTGCTTTCTACTCTGAAAAAGATTCCTGCTTTTAAAGACCTATCTGTGCTATGATTCATATGAGAAGAGTTTACATATAACCTACTTAACATACTTAACATATAAGTATATGAATGTATTATTATATGTTCTCAGTGGTGGCAGATGACAGAACAAGGAACAATGGTTTCAAGTTTCAGCAAGAGAAGTTTAGATTGGATATTAGGAAAAACTTTCTCACTAGGAGAGTCATGAAGCGCTGGAGCAGGTTACCCAAAAAGGTTGTGAACTCTCCATCCTTGGAGGTTTTTAAGACCTGACTAGACAAAGCCTTGGCTGAGATGATCCAGTTGGGGCTGGTCCTGCTTTGAGCAGAGGGTTAGACTAGATGACCTCCTGAGGTCCCTTCCAACTCTCATTTTCTATTATTCTATATTGTACCAGTTCCTCATTCTTGTTTTCTGATCTATCTTTAGATCTCCTTGGGGGCCAAACTTCTTCGTTTTCAGATTACTTGGGCCATTTTAAATGTTATCGGAAATAAATGGCACATGATAATACAATTCATGGTTAATTTCAGTCTCCCAACTCTTGGCAGTTCATTACTGTATAAACCTCAAGTAATCTTGGAAAGCATTATCAAATAGATAAGACTTTTTCAGGACCTGATTAGTCATGTGTATTAGTTTATGTTTATATGTTTTACATCCTATATAAAGCAAACCAAATAGTCCTTTTAAGATTTGTGTAAATCTGAAAGGAAAGAGAAAATTAAATGGACAAATTCTTGCCAAAAGGAAGATTTTCTGAATTGTTGATATGTGATTTTAAATCAAATTTGTATATGGTCTAATGACTTTTTGAAGTATATATTAACAAATTTGAAAATATAGCAATTGCCTGAATACCTTTATAACTCACTGTGTTGAATGATATTTGCTAAAAGTGTATGTAAATGTCTACATACTTGTCATTGCCTCGTGACCTTGGCAATATAGAGTAGGTGGAGAGATTTTGGTAAGTTATAGACATTACCTCAGATAACACACTATCAAATAGCTTTTCTGCTCCATGTCACCTTCAGAAATACATGCCTTTCTTTGGAATCTTGTTCACTTTTTTTCCCCAGTATATACTAAGTAAAGCTTTAAAAATGGGAGTACCTATAGCTTGAGGTAGTTACATATTTTAGTTGTGTGACTGGTAGATGTTGTATGTGGAAATATGACTGGGTAAAAGGAATTCAGAATTCTTTCTTCCACAAGAACTGTAAGTCAAATGCTTCTAAGAATATGATCTGGCTGCATTCAAATAAAATTATAATACAAATTTATTTCTCGATTATTTATGATGCCTCATTTGGGTCATAGCTTCATGATGCTCAGATACCAAAGGAACCATGACCCTAAATTTCTGAAATACAGGTCAGCAAATCCTCCTATGTCTATATATATATATAGAGAGAGAGAGACACCTTCCCACTATTCAAATAGGTCACAGTAAATATATATAATCCATTTGAATAGCATGAAGGTGTAATAAAAGATGAGTTTTATAGACTGCCTGTTAGTTCTTTGTTTCCTGTAAATGCTTTGGAAGCAATACAGCCAAAGGCAAAAGAGACCAGATTAACAAGTGCCTCTAGGAGGCAGGGTTGGGTGGGACCTTATAGACGAGCTCATTCATGAGCTTTCATACATACAGCCTTCTTCCTGAGGGGATGTGAATGGACTTCTCTTTAGAGTCTTTTCCTCTATTCAGCTTTCCTAATGTGTTTAGCAGTCTTAATCACCTTCCACACAGAAAAATGTATCCTTTCAATGTTTCCAATGATCAGTTATTTATTCTGCTTAACCAGCATTTCCCTTTAGTGTTGGTGGACCTTCAGAATCTTTGTAAATTTCAACCCATCTTAGGACCCAAACTTTGTAAAACCATACATTATAGTTAAAGTGTATTTACACTGGGACATGAAAGATGGAATAGGCTAGAAAGGATCTTTGTGGCAATTGTAAAGTAAAAACCAGTAGGTCAGAAAGGCCTTAAAGCTGATCACCAATCAAAAGTGAGAAGGCTCCTTTCTAAATTTAAGTTATGTATTTTAAAGGCTGCTTAACAATATATCATGTATACCCTTGATTAAGGCAGTATGTCTTAGCTACTTACTACCATAATTTGCTCTTTGCATGCATCACTTGCTCAGTAGTTTCACATGCTGTCAACACTGAGTTCTAAATTGGTTATCTAACCTCAGTGATTTTTTTCCACTGCTTTTAGAGCTTTCCCTTTTATTTTGATTATGTATCACTTTAATTGCAGCCTCCAGCTCTAGATATGAACTAAAACTAGGTAGGCACTAGGCAGCTATATAAAAAATTTCCTGTGTCTTAGTTTGCATTTTATAAGGTGGAAGCTAGGTCTATACTCCATAGGAGTTTTCACATCCTTCCCTTGATTAAGCAACTGGGAGGTTAGATTTTGGCTTCAGCATGAACACAACTCCTGCTGAGGTCAAAATGCTTGTGCATTTCAAAGGACAGGAGTTGGGACCTCCTGCATAAACCTTAAAAACAAACATTGCTACAAGAAATGGTAACTACAAAGTAGCATACAGCCAGACTTAAAAAAGGCCTGGTCACAATGAGGTCAGTAAGTTTCCCACAGAAATTTGAAGGGAGGGAAGTCTGACCTATTGTGACGGTTTTGTTAAACTAACTTCTCTTGAGCAGCCCCAGTATCCTTAACCAGCCATCTGCCAGCCTGGATCTCTGGGCAGAGTGCCAACCTACTACAGCATTAGGTCCTGCAGAAATTAAATAATAATATAAATCTATAAAAGTAATATACGTCTGTTTCTCTAATGAGTTACTTTCAGTTTATAAAATAAAACCTTGCAAGATATTATGGACTGAATATCCAATAAATGGGGGATGGAGAGAGTAGAAACTTTTGTTGAAGTATACTTTACCGATGACCAAAAAACCCCCACATTAATGATAGAATTAATAGGCATAGATTTCAAAGCTCTGAAAAGTACCTTTATGCAATGGTAACAAATTTCCCTGTAAAATACTCGCATGAAGAGTACATCCAACAAACAACACTTTGAAGGTGTATCTTGCAGGGTTTTTCGTTGCTAGCAGGGATACTGAGAGCTGCCATGTTATATAAGTGGTACATGAATGTAGTTTTGTTGATAATGATACCCTGAAGATATTTTTTTTCATAAATCTGTGTTCACTAACCAAATTGTTTTTAATTACAGAGGATACACTTGGCTACACTAGCAGCTCTAGCCTGCAAGGGATAAGCATAGCATTGCCATCATTGTTTTCTCTTCTTATTGGCCTTGCTTTGGGAGCAGTATGCTGGAAGGTGAGAAATACCAGCATTCGTATAGAGGCATTATTTAAATTACTCCTGTAGGAATTCCTGATTTTCATAACTAGAATCATCTCATCATGATGTGAAATACGTACCATTCAAATTTGTATTTCTTTGTGCAAACTTTCTTTGTTCTTCTAATCTCCCCAACCCACCAATTTTATCCTAGTCCCTCCCCCCACCAATTTTAAAATATCTTATGTGGTAGTAAACTAACAAAATACCATTGGACCAAAAATTAAGGAACCATGAGCCAAGGTGTCCCATTATGACCTTGTGCGCCAGTCCTTTTACTTCCATTTATCATGGAATATTATCTCACACACACACACACACACACACACACACACACACACACACACACACACACGCCATTATAATAAGTAGCAGTCTATATACACACATGCACACACACTAATATATAAAAATGTTATATGTGTATATATTTTGTGTATGTATATACACCCATACTAAAATGTACATACCTATAATAGCTAAGCTCTATCACACATGCATTTTAACATGCATTCAAGCAGTCATTTGACATAAGAAGTGCATAAGAATCTTACTGCTGACAAAATTTGGTAAAAAGTCTCATTTGGTATTGAAAAACATAACTGAATATTTATAATTGTTAATACAACTATAAAGTAACATCTGTATTTAATGTACTTTGCTCCTAGAAAACACATCCCAAATCTAAACCAGAAAGTGAAGAAACTGAACGGGGTAGTGGCTGTCAAGAAGAAAATGAGATAAGGTATTTTGCTCCACTTCAATCCTCACATATAACTTATCTTTAAATAATCAAATATAATTTTGAAAGAAATGTTAAGAACTGGCAGTCTCAGATAGATGTGCTTAGAGCCAAAAGAAAAGAAAGAAAAAAAGAAAAAGTAATGTCAAGATTCTTTGTCAGTAGGAAGAATTTGTGCCCAAAGCATGTTCCTTAAAGCGTGCTTCTATTTTAATTTTAAATGTTATGTTTTTTCTATATACAAAAATTCCATTAAAGGGACATTACTGTTGCAGAGTTAAGCACTCAGAAGCCAGAAAGTTCTGTGCCTGCGTGTAATATTAAGGGAGGAAATTCTGCTACAGAATTCAGAGTACATTGAATGGCAAAGTCCACCACCTTTTTTTCCCAGCTTTCACTGAAATTACTGTTGAGAGCATGGGAAGGAGCTACAGACTACTTCTTCCTCAACAAATTAGAAATGAAGACTGAGGAAGACTGGCTGGGATCACATTCCTTCAGGTTATCAGAACTGTCTATCATCGCTTCTGTTTTTCAGTACTGGAGTAGAGAACTAACTTCCTTTTCTTCCATCAGTAATTTTCTCATGTGACAGTGGCTGATAGAGAAAGTATACCATTTCCACCCTATCCCTCATAATAGGTCCCTTGTAGGACTCCCAGATTCTTGTCCAACTGCAGCTATAAAAGAACTAACCAGGTACTGCAGCATGAGGAACGAGAAAGGCAGATAGTGGAGACCTGTCTCCCTTTGGGGGTTTTGATATCAATGCTAGCTGTAAGGGAAGGCTAAATGCTAGATGCAGCTGACTTCCTTCTTTCTATACTCACTGCTTCAAGGTGAAATTTGCTAAATCAGGAGAAATGGCCAGAGGTAAAACGTAACAGTACTGAAGCACTCTGCACTGAAGGCAGTGCATGGTTTGGAGCCAATCCCAAATATGATTAGACCTATATGGGGATCAGCAAATAGAAGGGCATTTTTTTCATTTACTGTCCTGCATAGACCTGGATTAATATTGAGCAGGAACCAACTCTCTATAACAGTACTTGTAATATGTTTAATATGGGTTTTTTTAAATATGTTTAATAAACTTTTCTATAAATGAGAATTTTTTGTCACCCTCACTGTAGGATGGGGACCATATAAGTACCTAGAATTTGCTTGACTAGCAGTAACAACCACAGTTAGTATTATGAATCTTCAGATAAGTATGTTCGAAATGCCATCTTGAATCTTTTTGCTTCCTCCAAGGTTTTTTTTTTTTAAAGTTTAATCCATTTGGCAAGAAGAAAAAATCTGTGTGCTTCAAGTACTTACATATCACTAATAATAAATAGTTTAAGACATTCAGAGTAGCCTTTGGAAATTGCATAAGCAAAACTTTAAGGGAAATTCAAAAAAACATTTAAGTAACAGGAATATCCAGTGTTATAATAACTCATTTTTAAAAGTTTTGGAAGGTATATTATACTTTGTACTTGTGGTCTTACTTCTTTCCTTAACTGTAAGAGATTAGGATAAAAACTATTCTGGGAGTCAGAATTTCCAAAATATGCCCATTATAGGCTTTTTACACCTTTCTCTGAAACATCTGATGCTGGCCATTGTTCTAAAATCTTTGGGACTAGATAGTGATCCAACATCCAATTCCTAAATTCCTAATTTTAATAACTTGTGAACACTTATACTGAAGTTTTTAGTATATTTAACCAGTTTCAAATAGCTAATAACGTTGTAAATGTCAGCCTATTCATGCAGCATTCATTGAAAGAAGAAAGACTATATATTCATAAAATATAACTGTTACTACAAATAACTTTCCCAGCATCTGTACTGTGACTCTTGAAACAGCTTCTATAACGGAGGCAGTTTAAAATCTTGTTTCAGGGAACAAAAGATTTGATACCATTTAGTTAAATGCAAGAGGCTACCGTTTGAGGAGGTAAAATAGGTTGTTTTCCCTATCAAAAGTATTATTAAAAATGTAAAATATTACCTCTTCTTTCCCTTCTCCCACTAAGAAAGTGTAATATTGTACTATAACTAAGCATAAGTTAACAGCAAATATGTCTTAGGGGTGTACCACTATTACTGTCAAACATGCCAGTGAGGCTTGTAAATATGAAGGTGGGGGTAGGAGAGGGGTGACTGATACATGAGGCCTTTCTTTCACTGCTACCATGCCCTGGAAATGTTATCATTATGGAAATGGGGTTTTTTTTGTCTTCCAGTATGTTGCAGCAAAAAGAAAAGGAGCTTTTACAAGTGTAGCCATTGCTTTTTTTCTCCAACACTGTTACTGTTTCATGTATTGGTAAGTTCTTTTATAGGATGATTAAGATTCCAATTGTAGCCTTCATAATTTTTGGCTAATGGAATTGATAGTGACTATAAAGGTGGAGTAGGGATAAACTTAACAGGTATACACTGGGGCTAGGGACAGACATTCAAAAAGCCTGAGCCTGAATTAATTCAATCTTTTCAGGTTAGTCTAACCTGGCTCAGCTAAATCACTTTGTAACCACCAGACATCCCAGAAATGCAGGCACATGCCTGCAGTGGTTCAGGCTAGAAGCCGGGGGGGGGGG